CTGGAACTAGTGATCTAAGAGACCGCTAGATATGCACAAAGAAACACTTTGTGTCTGGAACTTGGATAATAACAGTTATCTGTCTGGACACACCTGGGCTGGTAACATCACGCGCCGAGACGCTGCCACGCGCCCCTCCACCCACTCCCGTGCAAGCTACAAAACAAATGTAATTATAAGTCAATATGAAGGTTTTGTTGGAGTTACCCATACTCTCTTTTGAGGAAGAAAACGGAAGTAAAACATGACAAAAGAGGCAAAAGAGGAAAAACAGTGAAAGCGACGAGAATAATATAATGCGAACAGGAAGTTAAAGAACTCATAACACAGGAAATTGGGGCTGGATCATGAAGATGGAATAGGCTGCAAAACATAGAAGACTTAAACATCCTACGGGCTCACCATACCCCGTGCTACTTGGGACATTTTGTTCCAAGAAGCGAATTTTTAACAACAACAACTTAAATATCCACAACAACACACCATTTGTAACACAATGGGGGCCTGATAGCTGAGTGGACAGCAATCTGGACTCGTAATCCTAGGGTCCGGGTTCGATCCCCCAGTGCGTCTGACAGCTGGGTGGACAGGGCTTCCGATTCGTAGTCCTGAGGTTCCAGGTTCGATCCCCGGTGGAGGCGGAGACGAATGAGCAAAATGTTTCTTTCACCCTGATGTCCCTGTTACCTAGCAGTAAATAGGTACCTGGGAGTTAGACAGCTGCTACGGGCTGCTTCCTGGGGGTGAGTGTGTGGGGAAAAAATAAGTTGATTGATTGACAGATGAGAGGCGGGCCGAAAGAGCAGAGCTCAACTCCCCGCAAGCACAACTAGGTGAATACAACCAGGTGAATACAACCAGGTGAATACAACCAGGTGAATACAATGGTGGAAACAAGTTCATCACAATCACGAAAAGTTTGATTGTGTTTCTTGACAAGAAACTCCTGTTCAAAGCCGAAAACTATGCTGAGGTCTCTGGACGAGAGCGGAGCTGGCAAAGGGAGTGTCTCTCAGGAAGAACACACACAGTCACACGAGGGGGAGAGAGATCAAATTGGTGAGAGGTAATAATAGTAAAGTACCATAACGTTGGGTACATAGGTCTACTCTTCTCATATATTGTGTGGGTTAGTGTCGCTCTAAGCAACCCGTCCTCTTAAAAGTAACATCACTTTTGACTCGTATGCGCGCTATGGCTAAAAATGGACGTAATTTGAAATGAAATCGGCTCACAAAAGTGACGTACTGTCCCGTTTTTTGTTTGAGTCGTCCGGCTGACTCGGAAAGGTTAGAAGAGGAAACTTTCAATTAACGTTTTTCATAACGTTTTGAAACTTTATGAGAGTTTCCTGCCCACCTAACCTATCAGAGGACCCTTAACTTACTGTTGTTGAAAAAAAAAATCCCAAATTTATTTTCTTTTTTTTCATTTTCAAATTACGTCCACTTACGGCCATACGGGCAAACGGCCAAAAGCGACGTTATTTTTAAGAGGACAGGTTGACAAACCTATCAGTCTCTCAGGAGTTACTAACGCCATGACACTTAGCTATTGACCAACCCGCAAGTTTATTTTAGATTTTGTCCAATTATAATTTAGTCAAGAACTAAAATAACTTCATGTGTATATATATATACTATTAAACAAAGTACGCTTCTTACCGTATATATTTTCCAAAGAAGCTAGTTTATACATATCTACGTTGACTGATGTCGCAAAACTAATAAGAAGAATCAGAACAGAAATGACCTAGACATTTCCCAGACAAACGCCAAGTTATGAGAATGTGACAAATTTAGTACAGAACAAAGAGGAAACTGCTTCTCTCATCAGAAAAAGAGAAAGACTTAGTAAATACATAACTCTAGATCTACTTCCGGTAGATGAGCCGAGGTGGGGAGGATGGTAGATGAGGCGATGAGTCACAATAACGTGGCTAAAGTAAGTTGACCAGACCACACACTAGAAGGTGAAGGGACGACGACGTTTCGGTCCGTCCTGGACCATTCTCAAGTCGATTCCTTGACTCCTTGAGAATGGTCCAGGACGGACCGAAGCGTCGTCGTCCCTTCACCTTCTAGTGTGTGGTCTGATCAACATGGTAGATGAGCCAAGATGGAATAAGTGTGGTATTGGAAGGTGGGAAGGAGGATGCTAGGAGAGGAGAGTGTTGTGAACTGAGACGGAATCCGTGGAACTAGACATGCTCCGGAATATTAAATGATTATCATCAATTAGATATTCACCATTGCCTCTGCTTCTGTCTTGGTACCCAAGTACTTATCACAAAAGTAATCAGAATCACTATTTACATCTTTGATCAAGACGTCGCTGACATTAACTGATGTAAACAACTGTCGGCTTTACAAGCTTACAAGCTTTAAGTTATTTATTAAGTTTTTTTTAAACGAACAAATCCACAAGGGCTGTGACGAGGATTCGAACTCACTCGCTCAGTCGATTAAGGCAGCGTCTGGGATGCTCTCAGACGTGCCGTTGCAACCCGTTCTCGCAAATTTAATAAGTCAATATTGACTTATTAGTTGCGTGCATAGGTGACATACTAAACATAATAGTTTCCCTTGAAAAGCTTCATAGAAAACACCGACCTTACCTAACCTACTTAGTATGTTAAAATAAGCATCTTATAGCTTCGTAATTACAATTGTTACTTAACCTATTATAGGTATAGGTAGGTAATAATTGTAATTACGAAGCAATAAGATGCTTATCTTAACATACTAAGTAGGTTAGGTAAGGTCGGTGTTTTCTATGAAGCTTTTCAAGGGAAACTATTATGTAAGTATGTCACCTATGCACATATTAATAAGTCAATATTGACTTATTAAATTTGCGAGAACGGGTTGATAGTCGTAATGGCTTGGCGCTTTATCGTAATAGGTCTTTTCCCTTCCGATTCCTTCTAGACCATTTCTCCAGACCTCTGTGGTAGTTTCTCCAGACCACTCACCTTTGAGAGAGGACCAAGCCACTCCAGGCAACCATAGATGCCTGGCGTTGTTGTTGTTGTTTTAGATTCAGCTACTCGGAACAAAATGTTCCAAGTAGCACGGGCTATGGTGAGCCCGTAGCGATCTTGCTCTCTCACCGCTTCTCCTAATCAAGTCTCACCTGGCCTTACGGCCACACAACGTCTCATGCCACTTGGCTCCTCGGCCACACACAAGGAAAGAGTATCACTGGTCTAACGGCCTTGTTAAGCAGGGCAGAGAAAGCATGAACCTCATTGTACATTCTTTACTCCGCAACAGTCAGCTTGTTCAAGACAATGTCATTGTTCAACACACTCTCGACACAGCTCTTATGGTGCACTGCACGAAGTGTTGCAGAGTTTGACTTGCATGGAAAGAGAACCATTACCAGGCCATTGGAATTTTGTGTCTCTTAATGCCATGTATCTCAGTGGTTCTGAGGAGGAGGACCAGGAGGAGGTAGAGAAGCAGGGGGAGGTAGAGAAGCAGGGGGAGGAAGAGAAGCAGGAGGAGGTAGAGAAGCAGGGGGAGGAAGAGAAGCAGGAGGAGGTAGAGAAGCAGGAGGAGGAAGAGAAGCAGGAGGAGGTAGAGAAGCAGGAGGAGGTAGAGAAGCAGGAGGAGGTAGAGAAGCACAGGGGGAGGTAGAGAAGCAGGGTTAGGAAGAGAAGCAGGAGGAGGTAGAGAAGCAGGGGGAGAGAAGAGAAGCAGGAGGAGGTAGAGAAGCAGGAGGAGGAAGAGAAGCAGGAGGAGGTAGAGAAGCAGGAGGAGGAAGAGAAGCAGGAGGAGGAAGAGAAGCAGGAGGAGGAAGAGAAGCAGGAGGAGGTAGAGAAGCAGGGAGGAGGTAGAGAAGCAGGAGGAGGAAGAGAAGCAGGGGAGGTAGAGAAGCAGGAGGAGGAAGAGAAGCAGGGGGAGGTAGAGAAGCAGGGAGGAGGTAGAGAAGCAGGGGGAGGTAGAGAAGCAGGGGGAGGAAGAGAAGCGGGTAGGGGGGAGGAAGAGAAGCAGGGGGGAGGTAGAGAAGCAGGAGGAGGTAGAGAAGCAGGGGGAGGAAGAGAAGCAGGAGGAGGAAGAGAAGCAGGGGGAGGTAGAGAAGCAGGAGGAGGTAGAGAAGCAGGGGGAGGAAGAGAAGCAGGAGGAGGTAGAGAAGCAGGGGGAGGAAGAGAAGCAGGAGGAGGTAGAGAAGCAGGGGGAGGTAGAGAAGCAGGAGGAGGTAGAGAAGCAGGGGGAGGAAGAGAAGCAGGAGGAGGTAGAGAAGCAGGGGGAGGAAGAGAAGCAGGAGGAGGTAGAGAAGCAGGGGAGGTAGAGAAGCAGGGGGAGGTAGAGAAGCAGGGGGAGGAAGAGAAGCAGGAGGAGGTAGAGAAGCAGGAGGAGGTAGAGAAGCAGGAGGAGGAAGAGAAGCAGGAGGAGGTAGAGAAGCAGGAGGAGGAAGAGAAGCAGGAGGAGGAAGAGAAGCAGGAGGAGGTAGAGAAGCAGGGGGAGGAAGAGAAGCAGGGGGAGGAGAAGGTGTAGATTATAATTTCTCTCTTTTAAAACTGTCAATGAAAAATAATAAAGTCAAAGTTATTATCGACCCAAAAATTATATTAAAAATATAATGAGAAATACAACCCATGCTGCCACCAATGTTGCTATCATTACTCCCACCAATGTTGCTATCATTACTCCCACCAATGTTGCTATCATTACTGCCACCAATGTTGCTATCATTACTGCCACCAATGTTGCTATCATTACTGCCACCAATGCTGCTATCATTACTGCCACCAATGCTGCTATCATTACTGCCACCAATGTTGCTATCATTACTGCCACCAATGTTGCTATCATTACTGCCACCAATGTTGCTATCATTACTGCCACCAATGCTGCTATCATTACTGCCACCAATGTTGCTATCATTACTGCCACCAATGTTGCTATCATTACTGCCACCAATGTTGCTATCATTGCTGCCACCAATGTTGCTTTCATTGCTGCCACCAATGTTGCTATCATTGCTGCCACCAATGTTGCTATCATTACTGCCACCAATGTTGCTATCATTACTGCCACCAATGTTGCTATCATTGCTGCCACCAATGTTGCTATCATTGCTGCCACCAATGTTGCTATCATTACTGCCACCAATGTTGCTATCATTACTGCCACCAATGTTGCTATCATTACTGCCACCAATGTTGCTATCATTACTGCCACCAATGTTGCTATCATTACTGCCACCAATGTTGCTATCATTACTGCCACCAATGCTGCTATCATTACTGCCACCAATGCTGCTATCATTACTGCACCAATGTTGCTATCATTACTGCCACCAATGTTGCTATCATTACTGCCACCAATGTTGCTATCATTACTGCCACCAATGCTGCTATCATTACTGCCACCAATGTTGCTATCATTACTGCCACCAATGTTGCTATCATTACTGCCACCAATGTTGCTATCATTGCTGCCACCAATGTTGCTATCATTGCTGCCACCAATGTTGCTATCATTGCTGCCACCAATGTTGCTATCATTACTGCCACCAATGTTGCTATCATTACTGCCACCAATGTTGCTATCATTGCTGCCACCAATGTTGCTATCATTGCTGCCACCAATGTTGCTATCATTACTGCCACCAATGTTGCTATCATTACTGCCACCAATGTTGCTATCATTACTGCCACCAATGTTGCTATCATTACTGCCACCAATGTTGCTATCATTACTGCCACCAATGTTGCTATCATTACTGCCACCAATGTTGCTATCATTGCTGCCACCAATGTTGCTATCATTACTGCCACCAATGTTGCTATCATTGCTGCCACCAATGTTGCTATCATTACTGCCACCAATGCTGCTATCATTACTGCCACCAATGTTGCTATCATTACTCCCAGGAATGTTGCTATCATTACTGCCACCAATGTTGCTATCATTACTGCCACCAATGTTGCTATCATTACTGCCACCAATGTTGCTATCATTACTGCCACCAATGTTGCTATCATTACTGCCACCAATGTTGCTATCATTACTGCCACCAATGTTGCTATCATTACTGCCACCAATGTTGCTATCATTACTGCCACCAATGTTGCTATCATTACTGCCACCAATGTTGCTATCATTACTGCCACCAATGTTGCTATCATTACTGCCACCAATGTTGCTATCATTACTGCCACCAATGTTGCTATCATTACTGCCACCAATGTTGCTATCATTACTGCCACCAATGTTGCTATCATTGCTGCCACCAATGTTGCTATCATTACTGCCACCAATGTTGCTATCATTGCTGCCACCAATGTTGCTATCATTACTGCCACCAATGCTGCTATCATTACTGCCACCAATGTTGCTATCATTACTCCCAGGAATGTTGCTATCATTACTGCCACCAATGTTGCTATCATTACTGCCACCAATGTTGCTATCATTACTGCCACCAATGTTGCTATCATTACTGCCACCAATGTTGCTATCATTGCTGCCACCAATGTTGCTATCATTACTGCCACCAATGTTGCTATCATTGCTGCCACCAATGTTGCTATCATTACTGCCACCAATGCTGCTATCATTACTGCCACCAATGTTGCTATCATTACTCCCAGGAATGTTGCTATCATTACTGCCACCAATGTTGCTATCATTACTGCCACCAATGTTGCTATCATTACTGCCACCAATGTTGCTATCATTGCTGCCACCAATGTTGCTATCATTACTGCCACCAATGCTGCTATCATTACTGCCACCAATGTTGCTATCATTACTCCCAGGAATGTTGCTATCATTACTACCACCAATGCTGCTATCATTACTGCCACCAATGTTGCTATCATTACTCCCAGGAATGTTGCTATCATTACTGCCACCAATGCTGCTATCATTACTGCCACCAATGCTGCTATCATTACTCCCAGGAATGTTGCTATCATTACTACCACCAATGTTGCTATCATTACTCCCAGGAATGCTGCTATCATTACTCCCAGGAATGTTGCTATCATTACTGCCACCAATGCTGCTATCATTACTGCCACCAATGTTGCTATCATTACTGCCACCAATGTTGCTATCATTACTGCCACCAATGTTGCTATCATTACTGCCACCAATGCTGCTATCATTACTCCCAGGAATGTTGCTATCATTACTACCACCAATGTTGCTATCATTACTCCCAGGAATGCTGCTATCATTACTCCCAGGAATGTTGCTATCATTACTGCCACCAATGTTGCTATCATTACTGCCACCAATGTTGCTATCATTACTGCCACCAATGTTGCTATCATTACTGCCACCAATGTTGCTATCATTACTGCCACCAATGTTGCTATCATTACTGCCACCAATGTTGCTATCATTACTGCCACCAATGTTGCTATCATTACTGCCACCAATGTTGCTATCATTACTGCCACCAATGTTGCTATCATTACTGCCACCAATGTTGCTATCATTACTGCCACCAATGTTGCTATCATTACTGCCACCAATGTTGCTATCATTACTGCCACCAATGTTGCTATCATTACTGCCACCAATGTTGCTATCATTACTCCCACCAATGTTGCTATCATTACTGCCACCAATGTTGCTATCATTACTGCCACCAATGTTGCTATCATTACTCCCAGGAATGCTGCTATCATTACTACCACCAATCCTGCTATCATTACTGCCATCAATGTTGCTATCATTACTCCCAGGAATGCTGCTATCATTACTGCCACCAATGCTGCTATCATTACTGCCACCAATGTTGATATCATTACTCCAGGAATGTTGCTATCATTACTACCACCAATGCTGCTATCATTACTGCCACCAATGTTGCTATCATTACTCCCAGGAATGCTGCTATCATTACTGCCACCATTGTTGCTATCATTACTGCCACCAATGCTGCTATCATTACTCCCAGGAATGCTGCTATCATTACTGCCACCAATGCTGCTATCATTACTGCCACCAATGCTGCTATCATTACTGCCACCACTGTTGATGGATATCAATGTCCTTCACGCTAATTCCTGCTAGATATCTAATATCTCACATATATTTCAATAAGATGTATTGGTGGTTCGCAGTAGTTCTTGTAGAAATAATGTTTAAAGAACTATTAGAAGGGTTTGAGTACTATCACCAGCACCAGTGACTTAGTAGTAGCAGAAGTAAAGGATAGTAGAAGTAGACACATCAGTAGTAGTAGAAGTAGATACATCAGTAGTAGTAGAAATACTACAACAGTTCTCATATTTCATACGACAATATTGTATTATGAGTATTTAGAAGCCAATACCAGGCCGCAAGCAATGTTTAACTTACTGTTCTACGCTCATTCAAAGCTCTATGAATGTCTACATCAAAAATGAATGACAAAATATATTGATAATCAAATGATAAAAATATAGTCGAGGTCGCAGTCTTTTCCGGCCGAGCAGTGACAAGCACAAAATAGGCCATAAAATTGTTCCAACTATTTCATTCAGTGTTGAGGAGACAATACCTGAACCCCCAAGGTGACACTATTGTAATACACTGTGCGCGGGGATTGTCTTACGCGCACACAGTAGAACAATGAATGTACACTAACAGTACACAGCTCTCATTACTGCCGGGTGTGCCTTGGCAGTACATAAACTCTAATGGTGTCTCAAGGATTCAAACCTAGGCGGGTAGGACCTCTTCGCGGGCTGTCCAATACCGATAAGACTCGATTGTCTCAAAGATTTAGACAATTGACACCGTCGATTGTCTAAAAGAGTACGCCAGCGGTGTCAGATTTAGAATTACAGCTTCTCCGAGGTATTTATTTTTTGCTGAGACTCTGTTCCATATTTCTCACACTGCTGCTGAGGTCTCCTTTCTCCAGCTGCTGAGGTCTCCTTTCTCCAGCTGCTGAGGTCTCCTTTCTCCAGCTACTGAGGTCTCCTTTCTCCAGCTGCTGAGGTCTCCTTTCTCCAGCTGCTGAGGTCTCCTTTCTCCAGCTGCTGAGGTCTCCTTTCTCCAGCTGCTGAGGTCTCCTTTCTCCAGCTGCTGAGGTCTCCTTTCTCCAGCTGCTGAGGTCTCCTTTCTCCAGCTGCTGAGGTCTCCTTTCTGCAGCTGCTGAAGTCTCCTTTCTGCAGCTGCTGAGGTCTCCTTTCTCCAGCTGCTGAGGTCTCCTTTCTCCAGCTGCTGAGGTCTCCTTTCACCAGCTGCTGAGGTCTCCTTTCTCCAGCTGCTGAGGTCTCCTTTCTCCTGATCATATCCTCGAAACTTTGTAAATTTCAGGGTTAAATTTCATGAGACGATTATCAGACTATCTCAGACGTTTGACGTGAAGTATTCTCACATTCTTCCTCTGTCTTCTATCTTCTCATTAATGGCGCCTTTGTTGCAAACACGAATATGAACGAGTCTGTGTCATCTGTCAGATCATTGGCGAATATTAACAGCAGGATAGAGCCTAACACTGACCCTTGTGGCACCCCGCTCGTTACCACCTCTCCCCCCCACCCTTCCTCCCTCAATCACATTCTCTACCTCCTATCCGAATACTTTCCTGATAACTCTTATCATTTCTTCCGAGTTTTCTTAATAGTCTATTCTACAGACATATGTCATATGCCTCCTGATAGTCTGGTAAGATGCAGACACTCTGTCCCAATTGTTCCTGTTGAGTGACAAACTATATTTCGAGGAATAACTGTGAGTGACATTGGTCTGTAAGTTAGTGGTTCATGTCTTTCCCTGTTCTTGTATTTGGAAACTTCGTTACCAAACACTAAATACAGTTACTTCGTAACCGTTTTCCCATACCTATGGGAGGTCTCGATTTTGTATGTGGTGATCATGTCTTCCCTAGCTCTTCTGTCTTCCAGCGACGTGAGGTGCAGTTCACGTAGTCTGTACTCATAACTCATGCCTCTCAGTTATGGGACTAGCCTAGTGGCATACCTCTGAACTTTTCCAGCTTCGTCTTGTGCTTGACTAGGTACGGGCTCCATGCTGGGGCTGTGTGTGTGTGTGTGTGTGTGTGTGTGTGTGTGTGTGTGTGTGTGTGTGTGTGTGTGTGTGTGTGTGTGTGTGTGTGTGTGTGTGTGTGTGTGTGTGTGTGTGTGTGTGTGTGTGTGTGTGTCATTCAGGAGCCTGCAGCTATTCAATGAAACTTTCAGATCAACTTTCTGAGGGTCATGGTTCAACACCTTCATTTGTATATATTTTACTGAGATTGGTTAAGTTGTGTGTGTGTGTGTACCTAGTTGTATTCACCTAGTTGTGCTTGCGGGGGTTAAGCTCTGACTCTTTCGGCCCGCCTCTCAACTGTCAATCAATTATTTTTTCCACACACACACACACACACACACACACACACACACACACACACACACACACACACACACACACACACACACACACACACACACACACACACACACACACACACACACACACACACACACACACACACACACACACACACACACAGGAAGCAGCCCGTAGCAGCTGTCTAACTCCCAGGTACCTATTTACCGCAAGGTGAACAAGGTCATCAGGATGAAAGAAACTGCCCATTTGTTTCCGCCATCGCCGGGAATTGATCCCCGGTCCTTAGGACTATGAATCCCTATCGCTGTCCACTCAGTCACCAGGCCCCATGTATGTGTGTGTGTGGGGGGGATTATGCATGTATATGTGGGCATCATTGTGCATATGCACTATTTTGCATTTATTCAGGTTAAAGTCAAACAGCCATCTATCAAACTATTCTTGCTCTTTACCCAGATCCTCCTGCAAGTTTTAGTCCCGCCAAAAACACACTGAAACTACGACGTTGGTACAACGTTCGAACAAATTTTAACACCTCCTAACTAGTTATAACAACCAATATAGCAAGTTGTAACAATGTTCTAATACGTCATAAACACGTTAATCCAAGATGTAACAACTTTATTACAAGTTGTAACAAGCGGAAAATAGAGACAGTTTCGGTTTGTGTTTCCAGGGTTGTTACTCCCCGTCCCAGTTCTGCTTCACCTGTCACGTCCTCCTATACACATTCCTAACAGGAACATTCCTAACAGGAACATTCCTAACAGGAACATTCCTAACAGGAACATTCCTAACAGGAACATTCCTAACAGGAACATTCCTAACAGGAACATTCCTTACGGAAGAGTTCCCAGTTCACATTACCGTGAAGCCGGTCGGCCGAGCGGACAGCACACTGGACTTGTAATCCTGTGGCCCTGGGTTCGATCCCAGGCGCCGGCGAGAAACAATGGGCAGAGTTTCTTTCACCCTATGCCCCTGTTACCTAGCAGTAAAATAGGTACCTGGGTGTTAGTCAGCAGTCACGGGCTGCTTCCTGGGGGTGGAGGCCTGGTCGAGGACCGGGCCGCGGGGACACTTAAAAGCCCCGAAATCATCTCAAGATAACCTCAAGAAGAACCGTGGTACCTCTCTTGTCACTCTCCTTTCAACCATTATCTCCTCCTCTTTATCAGTTATGACAGGCTCTCCGTTTAAAATATTTGTGTGAGATTTTGCGGAATAGTGCCAAAGGCTCTCTGGCAGTTTAGGAAGATGCAGTTAACCTTTTCTTCTCGGACTTAATCGTATTTAACCTAAGTACAGTAGCAGTTGTTCAGGAAATTTTAACCTCTTATATCTTCTAATTGCTTCCTTATTATTTATATATCTAACAAATGTTTACACTGACATAGGTAATGTAGTTTAGCATCTCCTGCTTGTCTCCTTACACTTCTATATTGCAACTGCTGTTTTCCAGCTCTCTGGCAGCTTTCATCTCTCAAATCAGGTGTTGAAGATTATCCCTTATTGTTCTCACAATGTTTTAGCAGCTCCTTTTAGTTCCCAATCACAGTTTCTGTCTAGGCTTTGTATTTTTGTTGTGTTAATCCCACAGACGTTCCTCTCTGTCTCTTAGTGTCGTCACTTCTGTTGTGTGTTAACCCCATAGACGTTCCTCTCTGTCTCTTCGTCACTTCTGTTGTGTGTTAACCCCATAGACGTTCCTCTCTGTCTCTTAGTGTCGTCACTTCTGTTGTGTGTTAACCCCATAGACGTTCCTCTCTGTCTCTTAGTGTCGTCTCATCTGTTACGTGTTCTCTCGGGTGAAGGGATGTACCTGGCAGCGTCTCAGTCTCTTGTTTTAAACTTCAGATCCATCACTAAGGACCTTACGTATTTTGCTGTGACTGTATGTCAGGCCTTCATCGCTCTTCTTTGGTTTAACAACATGAAGTTACTCACGCTCATCCTCCTCCTTGTGTAACTGTGGTGGAGTTTGCGAGTGCTTAGCACTTTAGCTAAGTTACCCTCGTTGTTTATACTTCCATTCAAGTTTTCTTTCATCGTGCCTGCTTGATGCCGTTGTTTGTCAGATCATGTCGTTCTGTTGTTTCTCACCCTCGTTACTAAAGAGCTGCCATGTATCTTCTCAGGACTACTTCTTCGTGATTTTGTAGTCATTCATGTATGATAAAAGACCAAAATACTGTGACTACTGGCATCTTGAGTACCTCATTCTTTATTTTCGTCATGTCGGCTGTATTTTTGTTGATAAATATGGTAGCAGTGAGTCCTGTTTCTCCTTGATCTCATTAAATTTGTTCTTGTTTAGCCAGGAAGTTCCCTGCAGAAGTTTCTGTCAGTTTTTCCCCCCATGACTCATTCCTCCATGGAGTTGCTTTGATTCCCAACCTATTTTTTTAACAGCTTAGAATTGTTCCTTCATGCTGTGCGACTGTACTGCTTCTGTGCTACTGCTGTTCTAACCCGGTCTTTGGCTTCATGACCCGGCCTAGGCTTCCTGCTGGGTGTTGTGGGGTACCTGCTACCTCTCTTCTTTTACCTCGTGCTGTTAAAGATCATGTTGTGAAGCCTGTGAGTTCATTCGTGTCTGGAGAGTTCAATTCTTCACTTTTAGTCTGTTTTGATTATATTTACCATATTAACCATAACTTCTCAACATTTTCTCCTTCGCTGTGATCTGGTACTCGACGGTACTTCAGCTATTTTCGTTCGCATCAACATAGTTATGTCAGGCGCTCCTCCTGCAACCCTTCCTCTAGGGTTGTTATTCTCTTTGTTTGGAACTCCATCTGCATTAGTACACTAAATCCAGAGGCTCTTTTTACGAGTCCTTTTTCAATGTTCTTCGTTGCTATTACCCTTGTGTTATTGACTGTGATGCAAGATGCAGGATAGAGTGCGACGGATATTGTTTCACAGGAGAGTAATTGAGAGGGTAGAGAAGGTGGCGTCGATAGTCATTGGTTGGGGACATGAAGCAACATAAGATAAAAGTCATGGAAGAAAGATGGAAGGTGAGGCTGCGTTGATGGGTAGAGATGAGTAATCTCAGGAGACAGTGGTGAGTAAGAGTGGGGAAGGGGGGGGGGGGAGTTTAGAGAGATTGTTATGACTATGAGGACAAGTGGGAGGTGCTGGGACCCCGCCAAGTGGGGCTGGGGTTGAGGGGGTTGACGTGGTGTGTGGTAGAGGCTGTTCTGGGGTGACAGGGAGGTGCAGAAAACATTGTGAGTGGGAGGGAAGGAGTGGGAACCGGCAGTGGAGTGTGTGTAATTACCTAGGTGTAGTTACTGGATGAGAACTACGCTTGTGGTATCCCGAGAGTGTGTGTGGGGGGGCGTGTGTGTACTCACCTAGTTGTGCTTGCGGGGGTTGAGCTCTGGCTCTTTGGTCCCGCCTCTCAACTGTCAATCAACAGGTGTACAGGTTCCTGAGCCTATTGGGCTCTATCATATCTACACTTGAAACTGTGTATGGAGTGAGCCTCCACCACATCACTTCCTAATGCATTCCATTTGTCAACCACTCTGACACTAAAAAAGTTCTTTCTAATATCTCTGTGGCTCATTTGGGCACTCAGTTTCCACCTGTGTCCCCTAGTGCGTGTGCCCCTTGTGTTAAACAGCCTGTCTTTATCAACCCTGTCAATTCCCTTGAGGATCTTGAATGTGGTGATCATGTCCCCCCTAACTCTTCTGTCTTCCTACGAAGTGAGGTTTAATTCCCTCACTTCGTGTGTGTGTATGTGTGTGTGTGTATGTGTACTCACCTATATATATGTACTCACCTATATGTGCTTGCAGGATCGAGCATTGACTCTTGGATCCCGCCTTTCTAGCTATCGGTTGTTTACAGCAATGACTCCTGTCCCATTTCCCTATCATACCTAGTTTTAAAAGTATGAATAGTATTTGCTTCCACAACCTGTTCCCCAAGTGCATTCCATTTTTCTACTACTCTCACGCTAAAAGAAAACTTCCTAACATCTCTGTGACTCATCTGAGTTTCCAGTTTCCACCCATGTCCCCTCGTTCTGTTATTATTACGTGTGAACATTTGATCTATTTCCACTTTGTCAATTCCCCTGAGTATTTTATATGTCCCTATCATATCTCCTCTCTCCCTTCTTTCTCTAGTGTCGTAAGGTTCAGTTCCTTCAGCCGCTCTTCATATCCCATCCCTCGTAGCTCTGGGACAAGCCTCGTCGCAAACCTCTGAACCTTCTCCAGTTTCTTTATGTGTTTCTTCAGGTGGGGGCTCCATGATGGCGCGGCATACTCTAAGACGGGTCTCACGTAGGCAGTGTAAAGCGCCCTAAAAGCTTCCTCATTTAGGTTTCTGAATGAAGTTCTAATTTTCGCCAGTGTAGAGTACGCTGCTGTCGTTATCCTATTTATATGTGCCTCAGGAGTTAGATTGGGTGTTACATCCACTCCCAGGTCTCTTTCTCGAATCGTTACAGGTAGGCTGTTCCCCTTCATTGTGTACTGTCCCTTTGGTCTCCTGTCACCTGATCCCATTTCCATAACTTTACATTTACTGGTGTTAAACTCCAGTAGCCATTTCTCTGACCATCTCTGCAGCCTGTGTAAGTCCTCTTGGAGGATCCTACAATCCTCGTCTGTCACAACTCTTCTCATTAATTTTGCGTCATCTGCAAACATTGACATGTATGATTCCACTCCTGTAAACATATCATTTACGTAAATTAGAAAGAGGATTGGTCCCAGCACCGATCCTTGAGGTACTCCACTTGTTACTGTTCGCCAGTCCGACTTTTCGCCCCTTACCATTACCCTCTGGCTCCTTCCTGTTAGGTAGTTCTTCACCCATACTAGGGCCTTTCCGCTTACTCCTGCCTGCCTCTCAAGTTTGTATAGCAGTCTCATGTGCGGTACCGTATCAAAGGCCTTTTGGCAGTCAAGAAATATGCAGTCTGCCCAGCCTTCTCTGTCCTGCCTTATCCTTGTTACTTTATCATAGAATTCTAAAAGGTTGTTAGGCATGATTTCCCTGTCCAGAACCCATGTTGGTGCTTGTTTACAAACCCAATGCTCTCCAGGTGCTCAACAAGTCTTAGCTAATTATTCTTTCAAGTATTTTGCAGGGGATGCTTGTCAGTGATACGGGTCTGTAGTTAAGTGCCTCCTCCCTATCCCCCTTTTTGAAAATCGGTACGACATTTGCCTCCTTCCAGCAACTGGGCAATTCTCCCGACATAAGTGACTCATTGAAGATCATTGCCAGAGGCACGCTGAGAGCCTGCGCTGCCTCTTTAAGTATCCACGGTGATACTTTGTCTGGTCCAACAGCTTTATTTGCATCCAGTGTTGTCAACTGTTTCATTACATCCTCTGCTGTCACCTCTATATCTGATAGTCTTTCATCTTGGGTAATCTCTTCTAACAATGGGAGCTGCTCAGGCTCGGTAGTGAACACTCCATGGAATTTTGCATTCAGTACCTCGCAGATTTCCTTGTCGCTTTCTGTATATGCCCCTTCTGTTTTCCTCAGTCTTGTCACTTGGTCATTTACCGACATCTTCCTTCTTATATGGCTATGTAGTAATTTTGGTTGCTTTTTCGCTTTGACTGCAATATCGTTCTCATAATTCTTTCCGACACTCGTCTTATGTTAATGTAATCATTCCTAGCTCTGTTACATCTAATCCTGTTGTCCTCTGTCCTTTGTCTTCTGTACTTCCTCCACTCCCTCCTGCTTCTCACCTTTGCTTCCTGACACTGTCTATTAAACCATGGGTTATTATATTCCCTCCTGCTTTTTTTCTTTATTGTTGGAATAAATCTATCTTCAGCCTCCTTGCATTTCAATATGACTTGGGTCATCATACCTTGCACTGTTTTTCCTCTAAGTTCTTCCTCCCACTGCACTTCTCCCAGGTAGTCCCTTATCCCTCTGTAGTCCCCTTTTCTGAATCAAGTCTCCTTTCCCGGACCTCTTGTCCTTTGGTCACAATTTTAAGCTCCATCATGTAGTCAAAGGCTAGGACACAATGGTCACTAGCTCCTAGTGGTATTTCATGTTCCAACTGCTCGATGTCTTCTACATTCTGAGTGATAATGAGATCTAATAGGCTGGGCGTATCCCCTCCTCTTTCCCTAGTATCTTCTTTCACATGCTGTGTTAGGAAATTCCTGTCAATAACGTCTACCAGCTTCGCTCCCCAGGTCTCCTCCCCGCCATGGGGATTCCTCGTTTCCCAATCTATCTCTCCGTGATTTAGGTCCCCCATGACCAGCAGCTTCGCTCTCATTCTATGCGCTAAAGTTGCTGCCCTCTGCAGTTCATCCATACATGTCTTGTTGCTGTCCTCGTACTCCTGCCTGGGCCTTCTACTGTTTGGTGGGGGATTGTAGAGTATCAAGATTACAATCTTCTTCCCATCCACTGTCAGGGTTCCATGTATGAAGCTTGTGCTTTCATTGGTACCCGGATTTTCCAGCTCATCAAACTTCCATTTCCGCTTTATTAGTAGTGCCACTCCACCTCCCTGTCTCTGTGTCCTTTCTTTTCTTATCACCTGGTACCCCTCTGGAAAGATTGCATCCGAGATCATGCCATTTATTTTAGTTTCCACTATTGCCACTATGTCTGGGTCTGCCTCACTAACTCTTTCTTTTATCTCTTCTGCTTTATTGGCTACCCCATCAGCATTGGTGTACCAAACCTTGAGACTCTTCTTGGAAACTCGGGTGTCAGAGTTCCCCCTTTCACCAGGGGTCTGGAGGGAACTGGGGGGTGTCTGGGGGCAAGTGGGGGCTGTGGGGGCTGTGGGGCGAGTGGGGGGGTGCTAGGGGGGTGCCTGGGAGTGCCTGGTAGGCAAATGGGGTCTGGGCATCTAGGGGGGTAAGAAGGGCATAATGGGTCTGAAAGTTAGGGGTCTGAATAGCATAGGGGGGTTGAGAAATAGAGTGAGACTGAGAGTCAGATAGAGGTTGAGAGGTTGGGGGGAAGAGGGATACTGAGGTGAGTATCTCACCTCAGTGAGATACTCACTGAGTATCTCACACACTGAGTATCACACACACACACATACTGTGTGTGTGTGTGTGTGTGTGTGTGTGTGTGTGTGTGTTGTGTGTGGTGTGTGTGTGTGTGTGTGTGTGTGTGTGTGTGTGTGTGTGTGTGTGTGTGTGGTGTGTGTGTGTGTGTGTGTGTGTGTGTGTGTGTGTGTGTGTGTGTGTGTTGGTGTACTTGTTTGCTTGCGTATACATGAGCTTATACTGATGAGAATATTGTTCATGTTTAACATTCAGCTACTGGGAACAGAAAGTTGCAAGTAGCACGGGCTATGGTGAGCCCGTAGTGGACTTACCTGGCACAGGAGCGAGGCTGTAACTAGGCTGAAGCGAATTTTTCTCTATTCCTTAAGCGTGTATTTACCAGCATGTCCAGCGCTGCTCACCGACCCTGACTGGACTCTCTACAACAAGATCCAATTAACTTTAAGGCCAAGTCGTGTCTCTCTCTCTCTCTCTCTCTCTCTCTCTCTCTCTCTCTCTCTCTCTCTCTCTCTCTCTCTCTCTCTCTCTCTCTCTCTCTCTCTCTCTCTCTCTCTCTCTTCTCTCTCTCTCTCTCTCTCTCTCTCTCTCTCTCTCTACGCATTATTATTTACAATGTTTTCGTGGGTATATTTTCATCTGCATTTTTTTATTCTCTACAAATTCTCAACGTGGTCATTGACTCACAATAGGTTAAAAATACTTGCATCCTGGGACATTTTCGTAGGGTGAACGAGGAGTTCTTAGGATACACCAGGTGTCCCTAGGGTGCGAGAAGTCTCCCAAGAATGTGTAAGATATCCCTAAGGTATGAAAGATAGCCATAAGCTGTTCGAGATATTTCTAGAATGTGGAGGTGCTCCTGGGATGTTGAAGATATCCCTATAGGGTGTTGGAGGTGCCCCTAATGAATTACACCTGCAGTAATTAGAGTAAGCAGCACCACCAGCAGGTTAAGGACTCATAGAGCTGTACTGGGAACTTGCACCGAGGCCCCGCCCTTAGTTACATCCTGCCTGACTGGCAGCTGGAAGTCAACTGCTGTGGGGACGTCATGTCGGGCTGGGGAGGTACAGAACTCTGTGCTCTGACTTCTGATTGGCTAATCCCAGCTCCTTCAGAATGTTCGCTAAGCATACGGTGGAACGGAGTGACAGTATGAATGGTAGAAGCCATACCGACAGTTCCAGCGGGAGAGACGAGGGTTGGTGTAAGTGGTGCTCCGGTGGAGCCCTGGGGAGCTGTCACTTGTGTTCGGTCTGGGTGGTGAAGGTTGGTGTTCGGTCTGGGTGGTGTAGGTTGGTGTTCGGTCTGGGCGGTGAAGGTGGGTGTTCGGTCGGGGCGGTGTGCTGAAGGTGAACAGCTTTCTGACCATCGGTGACGCACGTGCGGCAGGAAGGACTGTCAAGGTGGCCAGGACGCTGACTTTTGCTGGGGTCTTGCCGGGTCCTGCTGGGCCCTGAGGAATCTTAGTGAATCCTGCGGGGTCCTTGCTGTGTCCTGGGGAACTCCGGAGTCCTCCTGGCTCCTGGTAGGACCTGGCGCGTCTCGTAGAGTCCTAGTGATTTCTGAGGAGTCCAGATAAGTCCTGGGGGAAGTCTGGAGAGTCTTTGTATTTTCGTAATGAGTCTTGGTAATTCTTAGTGACATTCCATGACTCATGGTATCTCCTGTGAAGCTCTGGGGCTCCAGTGAGCTCTAATGAGTTGTTGATACTGATGGTCTGCCCTATAACTGTTAATTAGTGAGGGAGTATCGTTGTGGGTCGTAATGAATATTGATTAGTTTAATGAGTCAATGTGAAAATGGATTTGGGTAATGAAGTCTAGCGTCTAAGAATGCATTAGTTAGCCCCGTTTTGATAAGTGCACGTTCTGATGAGTCCACGTCAGTTCTAGCCAAGTCCGATAGCTCCTGGCGAGTCTAAGAGGAACCTGATGAGTCCAGTTACGTTCAGCTGGGTCCTGTGAGCTCAGATGGGTCCTATATACGCCAGTGAGTCCTACCGAGTCCCTGTAGATCCTGGCGGATCTAGGTGAGTCCTGTCAGGTTCGAGAGGATCCTAACGAGACTCGGCTGGTACTGGGGAGTCCGAATAGGCTGTAATGAGGCCAAGTGGACCCTTGCTAGTCCAGCTAGAGTGCTGGCAACCTCCAGGAGGATCAGAACCCCATCGAGTTCTGATCCTGTGGGGTCTAATGCATCCTTAAGAGAGACCCAGCGTTTCCAAATGGATTCTGGTATGCCCTTAAAAATCCAGCGAAGATCTTAGACTCGTTGAATCTCCTGGCCAGCCAAGGGAAGAGATTCATGCTGACTGGCATTCTGGGAAAGACTATTGAATTCCATCTTAGAGTTGTTAATTAAACACTAAACAACGTTTGAACTATACATACAGCAACGAATCACGGAAGTTAACGGAATATCAGTAGGAAAACGCGGCATTTAAAATCCAAACAACATTTAACATTTTCTATTGTTTCGTTCCACAGTAAAATTATTTTGGGAATTTGAAAGAAAACTTAATTGTGAGGCTGTGAAAGAGAATCGTGAGAGCTATTATAGGTTATTGTTTTAATAGATAATTGTACATTATTAGCGCCCACTGGGATTATACTAGATCAGATTCCTGAGAGATGATTATAGGACACTCCCGGAGATAGTAAATTGGGTCTCATTCTTGGCAGTAATAAAGGTCACAAGCTTGGAGATCATAGAGCTCCGCAGCTTCCTTGTGATGCTGTGGTACGCTTCTCTAGATTATTATAGGTTAGGCTGAACCTATTATTATAGGTTCTCCTCCACACAGTCGTGGAGGTACTTGCGCGATAGGTTAATAATAATGATTATAGGCCACATCCCTGGTAATGATTATAGGTAAGATGTGCTGGTATAATTCCGAGTTAGACCGGAGGTATGTGTGTGGTGTGTGTGTGTAGGCCGCTCCTACGCTCTTAGTGAGGCGACCATATGTCTTTGGACCTATATATCTCTGACACTTTCACTGGCCACTCTTCTCACCTTCACGACCACCCCTCACCATCATCACTGTCACCATCATCACCACCACCCTCACCACCATCACTACCACCATCACCACCACATAACTGCCCATTACGCTTACCTTGACATTTGACGTCACATGGACAAGGTCGCTCTTCTCTCTGTGAGCTATAATGGGTTACTGTGGTGCCTTGTATTTCCTTGTGGTTTGAGTAACACACTTGAGTCCTTCCTTAGACTCAAATGTGTTGCTAGAGTCCAACACTGTCCCCTGCTCGTCCTTGTGTGTGTGTACTCACCTAGTTGTGCTTGCGGGGGTTGAGCTGCGGCTCTTTGGTCCCGCCTCTCAACTGTCAATCTGTCAATCTACTGGTGTATAGATATAATGTGTATAATATATCTTTCGACACTCTGTGTTACGCCTATTGAGGCCACAATGATGTTTGCTTGATGAACTGTGAATGTAGTAATAATGGATTTATATGTTAAAATAATAATAATAATAATAATAATAATAATAGTAATTTGTATTTACAAAATGTGCATTAGGATACAGCACACTCGTTCAGTAGTTGTTACATAAAAAGCATATGTAAGCGAGGCTGTAACTTGCTTAACTAACTGAACTTTGGGTTTCTATAACCTTTACCACTTCCCCCTCGCTAGATGAGGTGAGCTGAACTAACTGTTGTGAGAGAGAAAAAATGGCAAGTCAGCCGCTTGCGCTTAGTTAAACCTAACTATAGTTACCAGAATTTTCCTGGATTTACCTGAGGGCAATCACCTATAGTGGCCTCGACTGGAACACTGAAGCCGGTAGTTGGTCAAAGATCCTTTCCTTATTCCTGAAGCTCTATTTTTCAGATTAATTTTCAACTGGTTGATACCTGGTTGGTACCTGGTTGATACCTGCTTGATACCTGCTTGATACCTGCTTGATACCTGCTTGATACTGCTTGATACCTGGTTGATACCTGCTTGATACCTGCTTGATACCTGCTTGATACCTGGTTGATGGGGTTCTGGGAGTTCTACTCCCCAAGCCCGGCCCGGGGCCAGACTTGACTTGTGAGAGTTTGGTCCACCAGGCTGTTGCTTGGAGCGGAACTAGAGTATTGTTTTGGTATTTAAGACTTGGGTCAGTAGGTGATGGAGTTTATTACTCTGTGGGTGGCAAAGCATCTCCTGTTGTCTGTCCTACATTGTGGTTTGTTGAGCTTGAACTTGTTAATTTACAACCTTGTGTGATTTACATTGGACCTTTTGAAGAAATTAACTGGAAAAACAAAATTCAGAATTTTATATATCTAGATGAGATGTTGTTCCTAAAAACAAAAAAATAGCATTATTTTTATAAGGTGTGGTAGTGCCATTGGATTCGTACATCACTACCTGTGTATCGATATACACTCTATTATGTTATTGTTATCAGAGCGAAAACTCACAGCTCGAATTACAAGAGTCAACCCTTTCCGTTTTCTATCCACTACGTCCTAAACATGAAACAGAAAACAGTAACAAAATTTAAGAGGCAAACACTTTTAATTTTAACCTAAATACCTGTTAGATTGCACTTACAATACAATACAATACAATTTTACAATACAATACAATACAATACAATTTTATTTAGGTAAGGTACATACATACAATAAATATTTACAAGGATTGTTTGACTTATAGGTAGAGCTAGTACATACAATGCCTAAAGCCACTATTACGCAAAGCGTTTCGGGCATGATAGAGCCCGATAGAGCCCGAAATAGAGCCACTTATTTATTATTATTTTTTTTAGTAATATGTTTGCAAAGGATAAACTTCATATACGTGATTTAATACGAAGGTTTTTGTGCTGTGCTCTAAATATGTGTTAAATTGTACGAGAGTGAAACGATCTATGCTTTCTCATTATTGGTTTATTTTGTATTTAGTAAGTAAGTAAAGTAAATTTTATTCAGGAAAGTACATACATTGTTGATTTACAAACATAATGTTTATTTATGTATATATACAAGAGTTCATACATTCTTGTAAGAATGTAATTATCGGGATCAGGAGCTCTATATTTGTATACACAGGCGGCTACAGGAACAGACGCCTGCTGACTCCTGTTAGCAGACTGAGAACTTTCCCTTCCCATAGCTCATGGTAAGCCTTATACACACTAATTTTCCCTGGGACACGACTCGTCAATTGGTTAACAACCAGTTACCCGATTACTGCTGGGTGAGCAGAGGCGTAAAGTTAAGGATTGTCGCTTAGCTTTTCTTCCCTGGCTAAGATACGAACCCAGACCAAATCGCTATAGCTGTACTCACCATATATATATATATATATATATATATATATATATATATATATATATATATATATATATATATATATATATATAGATAGATAGATAGATATATAGATAGATAGATAGATAGATAGATAGATAGATAGATAGATAGATAGATAGATAGATAGATATATATATATATATATATATATATATATATATATATATATATATATATATATATATATATATATATATATATATATATATATATATATTAGGCTTGTATCGAGGCCTCCCAAGACGGAACAACTGACCCTTTCCAGGAAGCATCTCCACAATAGCTGAGCCACAGTCGAGATGAACCTAGTCTTCAGCACCAGGGAAGCAAATATGTTAAGTGTTAGAGGCAGATTTCATGGAGAACTTCATCCACTATTAACTGGATATTGAAAGGAGGAACCCAAGAACTGAAGCACACTCGCCGCAAACACACACACAAAGGAAGCAGGAAACAGAGATAATGTGCACGAGATGTAAGTGAAAGCTGTCCGATATGGGTGAAGAGATCCGGACGTTCCTAAGCAGGGAGGAAGTAACGGATGATAATAACGGGTAAGAGAAAGAGGGAGACAGGGGTTCAGTATGCAGGCGATGAGTCACAATAACGTCGCTGAAGTATGTTGACCAGACCACACACTAGAAGGTGAAGGGACGACGACGTTTCGGTCCGTCCTGGACCATTCCCATGTCGATGGACTTGAGAATGGTCCAGGACGGACCGAAACGTCGTCGTCCCTTCAACTTCTAGTGTGTGGTCTGGTCAACACAGAGGTTCACAGTCTAGGTAAAGTCCTAGAAAACGGGAACTATTGGGCCCAAGTAGTCATAGACATCAAGAACTCTTGGGCCCATGTAATTTAAAAACAAGATTATTGAAAAACTTTTGTTTTTGTTATAAAACTACACATCTAATTTACCAACAAGTATTTCCAACAAGGTGAGCCGGTCGGCCGAGCGGACAGTCCGCGGGACTTGTGATCCTGTGGTCCCGGGTTCGATCCCAAGCGCCGGCGAGAATCAATGGGCAGAGTTTCTTTCACCCTATGCCCCTGTTACCTAGCAGTAAAATAGGTACCTGGGAGTTAGTCAGCTGTCACGGGCTGCTTCCTGGGGGTGGAGGCCTCGTCGAGGACCGGGCCTCGGGGACACTAAAAGAAAGCCCCGAAATCATCTCAAGATATCTAATTTACCAACAAGTATTTCCAACAAGGTACTAACTGTAGAGACTGGTGAGCAGGCCCTCGACGCCGTCCCAGACTAGATGGTTTTAAGCAGTTTTTCAGCTGTTCGTAATACTAAATTTTCTGAGAAGGCAGAAGAGCAGGCAAGAGGAGAGATTTTGGAGTCGTGGGAAAGAGAGATGGGAGGAGAAAATGAAGAGAGGAGGTGAGGGTCGAGACTGAAAAAGAAGGGATGCTGGGTGGAGAAAGGTGGAGAGGTTGGAACGGGAAGGGAATTTTCTAGGGGAAAGCGCCAAGTCATTACGGTTATATAGCACTTGGAAGGGTCAGGATAAGGATCTGGGATAGAACGGGGGGAGGAATGGTGCCCATCAACCACTTGAACGGTCGGGGATTGAACGTCGACCTGCATGAAGCGAGACCGTCGCTCTACCGTCCAACCCAAGTGTTTGGACGGAGGGGGTGGGAGAGCGAGGACTGGGGAATAGAGGTGAGAGAAAGTGGAAGAAGGGAAGATATTGAGAAATAATAATAATAATAATAATTTTTATTTAGGTAAAGGTACACACATAAAGAGATTTTACAAAGTTTGTTGGCTTTATAGATAGAGCTAGTACATACAATGCCTAAAGCCACTATTACGCAAAGCGTTTCGGGCAAATAGAGGGAGAGAGGGAGAAGAGAGTAGAAAGGGGGGGGGTGAGAGACTCGGGCACTGCCGGGTAGTTCATCTAGTATTTTTATAATTGACATAATAAACACCAACTCTTACATCTTAAAATAAAAAAGAAGTGTGACAACGTTTCGGTCCGACAGATAATGATCCAAGACAGACCGAAACGTTCTCACTTCATCCTCAGATGTGTGGGTCTGTTGTCTAATGTCCAGCCCCGATATTGTGACTTATTAACAATAATAATAATAATAGATGATAAATCAACACTTCCATGGTAATAAACATAGCTGAGTGGATAGAGCCTCTGCCTCGCATTCGTGGCGACCATGGTTCGAGTCTCCTAGAGCCCAGGTGAATGAAGTAGTTAGATTATTATGATCATTTGTGAGTGCAGTGAGAGGTTCCAGACGGTGGAGTGACTGCATGGTTCGTGGCCAGTGGCGCCGGGTTGATGCTCGCTAGATAACGGACACCTCTTGTCGCCACCACGGCTCTCACGCGCGCCCTCTAGTGCTAGCTAGTCCCCCCTGCTTGACTCTTGCTCCTCCTTCCCTGCCTGCCGGGTGGTGGGCCTCTGGTCGGCCTCTGGTGGGCCGAGGGATGGGGCGGGGAGATGGTGGGCCGAGGCGGGGGATGGTGGTCCTCTGGTGGGCCGAGGCGGGGGATGGTGGTCCTCTGGTGGGCCGAGGCGGGGGATGGTGGTCCTCTGGCGTGCCGAGACGGGGGATGGTGGTCTTCTGATGGGCCGAGGCGGGGGATGGTGGTCTTCTGATGGGCCGAGGCGGGAGATGGTGGTCCTCTGGTGGGCCGAGGGGGGGATGGTGGTCCTCTGGTGGGCCGAGGCGGGAGATGGCCGGATGTGTTGCCAGATGAGCGAGGTTCAGGGTGCTGTGTAGCGTGATACAACAGCTAAAGTTATAGCGGCTTCACCGCTACTCCGGCTCCCGCTGCCGTCCTCTTGGCTCCCCGCTAAGTCCTCGCTGCTCCTGGCTGCCGCCTCGCGCACACGCTGCCCTCAGACGGCAGCGGGACTCCTCGGCCGCTGGAGCACACCCTCGCCAAGGCCCTCCTGAACTCCCAGTATTCTCACTATATTTATACTTAACCGGAAATGTTTCGTAAGGCTGGTTCTGGTTTGATGTGGTGACCCCTCGACCATCATGCCTTGGAAAACTGTTACGTTTATTTACTTCGAATTGAACAGAAAATGTAATCAAAAGGTGCACTGAAGATAATTCTTCGTAAAATTGTACAAAAGTTCTGACAAGATTTGGTGAGAGGTGAGAAACGAATTCAAATTTGAAAGGAATTTTGGCAAACTTCTTCATCACAGACGTCAAGGAGAGACTGTAGCGGCGGAAACGTTCCAGACATGAAGAACCCCCTCTGGCAGCAGAAGGCTCTGGCGCCTCTCCGGAGGTATGGATACCAGGATTCTGGATTCCAGTGTTTCGTGATGGTGGCAATCCTGGCTCTTATACTCCCCACTGCCGTCCGAGCTTCCAGTACCCCTGTCACACCACCAGTCCACGACGACCCAGCTCGCCTGTCACCCTCGACAGTTGTCGACAAGTACCCGTCACCTGATTTCCAAGACGGAGCCAAGGTCGATGACTACCCTTCGCATATCCTTCAAGATGAGACCCAAGTCACACAGGAGGAGGAGGAGTACCGACCCAGCTCCTTGAAGGACTATCCTCGAGACTCTGATGCCTCCGAGGGCTACGAGAACATCTTCGTCAGGCCGCCGGTAGGTCCCCAGGACGCCGTCAGACGCCCGCGGCAGAAAGAGACTGTCTTCGAGGGCGTCAGAAAAACCGTTCTCCATCAAGTAGGTGAGTCTATGGTGATCACGGTATTGAGTGCAGCATCAAGGGTAAGACTTATCAGTGATAATTCCAGTAATAATAGTATTAGCAAAAGTAATACTATTAATAATAATAATATGATTAGCTATATTATAATTATTTTTAGAAGTTGTAGTTATATTGATAATAGTAATATTAGTGATGATATAGAGCTTAAATATTTTAGGCTATGTTAAATATTGTACCATTCGTGTTGGTATGTGGGATACCACTATCAACACTATCACCGCCACCAGTGCTCACTATCACCACCACCGATGGGCTAGTAGTGACCAGCCCATCACTATCACCACCAGCCTATCACCACCACTACCACTCGCCCATCACCACCACCACTCGCCCATCATCGCCACCACCACCAGCCCATCACCACCATCAAATGTCATCACAACCAAAATCACAAATGGTCCCGTCACCACAACCGCAATCATCATTACCTGCATTGCCTGACCTTCCCTGACCTTCCCTAACCTGCCCTGGTCTTCCCTGACCTGACATTGCCTGACCTACCCTGACCTGCCCTGACCATTACAACTCCCCACAGAGCGCCAGGGGAGCGCGCTAGGTCGGGATGCCAGTGCCATGAACCTACAGTCACTGGAGGTGGCACTACTCTCCCTCGCCATCCTCACCTTCGCCGTCTTCATCATCGACCTCGTCCAGGTGTGTATAGCTGCAGGTGTGGGGACAGGTATAGAGGATTAGAAGTGAGAGTGTATTGCTCTAGTAACGTAGTATAACACGTAAATATTACACCATTAAACAGACGGCACGCACGCACCCGGGACTCACAGTTCCTGCGACGGCGCTGGAACCAATCGTATTGACGTATGCCTTTCCATTGGAGACTTTCAGCGCCGTGGAGAGGGGGGGGACCTGCTGCCTGGGTAACAGCTTCTCCCCCGTATCAACCTACCTAGGCTTTGCGCCCTGGTGAGGCCACTCCAGACCGACAACCAGAGCGCAACTCCATAGTCTCCTGACACTGATGGATGCCTACTGCTACTACTACGCACGTTTGGTCCCCTGTAGCCACGGTCTCTCATTCGCTACTCCGTAACAAATACAACTGTTTTAGCATCCTATAAACATATGTGGACGAGCAGCCTGTGAAGGTCGATGAGTGGAAAACGTCAATATTAGGGTGGTGTAATTCTTCGTATTTCGTAAAGTATTTTTGGTGGAATTATCAATGTTGGTCATAGTGTTATGTATTGGAAATTGGTGTGATGTGTATAGGTTTGCAAGTGTGTATTTTGTGGTGTGTATGAGTACGTGCTTCTTTGTATAAGCACATTTATGTATACCCCTAGAGTGTGTGTGTGTGAACCTTAGGTGCATGTATATCGTATGTGTATAAGCGTCTGCAAGTAGGTGTATGTATACTTATGTACATGTGTGTGCATGTATGTACCCAAGTGCATATACTGCATATATTGCAGGAGAAACGCATGCAATATATATATATATAACAGCCAGACGAGGTACTCAGCAGTACCAGAGTCAACCCCAGAAGATTGTACCACTGGGGCCGACCCAGACTTGCCTATGACAGTCCCCGCACACCCAACCGTCACCCTACCAAGCTCAATGAACTCCTTGAACAGACGTTTTTATTCCCATTGTGTCCCACCCAGGATCTGCTCAGGGGGACCACCAGCGGACGTAGTCACCGAGGCTCTCAGGACGACGCCGACGACGGCCTGGCCGACCTGATCGTCCTGACGCTGTCCTCCCTGGACACGGTGTCCTACGGCAGGGAGCACCCGGACTGTGGCAAGAAGCTCCTCTGTCACCTCAACCGCTCCGGCTGGCACACTGGCATTCTTGGCACCGCCTCCAACTACTTCGTCAGGTGGGTTGGCCCTGGTGCTCCAGTGTGTGTGATGGTAATGGTGCCACGGGGGACAGGTAGATAATGGTGCCACGGGGGACAGGTAGATAATGGTGCCACGGAGGACAGGTAGATAATGGCGCCACGGAGGACAGGTAGATAATGGCGCCACGGAGGACAGGTAGATAATGGCGCCACGGAGGACAGGTAGATGATGATGTCATGGGGATATATTTTAAAATATTTTAAATTAAATATTTCCAAAGCGTCAATTTTATCTTGTTAAACTGTGCTGTGTGAAAATTTTATAATTGGATGAAAACTAACGACAATTTTAGGATAATAATACTGATTATTTTTCAAGTTTCAAAGAAGCCAAATAAAATATTTAGAGCTGACCGGGTTTCTGCTAAATGATAGGCTTCCTTGTGATGTGTGCTAAACAAAAGGTAAACATTTAGTATGCCCTTTAGTAACAAGGTTCAGCAAGAGACCAATATATATATATACCTTGAGCTAGGTAGAACTGTGAGAGGCGAAGCCAGTAGATCCTGACAACTGTGTAACACTGTAACACTCTAGGGGTGACCTAACCCGGGTCCATTGCCTTAGTTTTGTCTATTGATTTAAGGAGGTCGTGGCGTTCATCCTCTTTAATAACCGCTGATGATGACTTTGGTACCGCGCTTGGAACAAGCCGTAGCATCTTTCACTCTATATTATTAAAAGAAACGTAATTCTATTAACTCTTCAGAAAATATTTCAAGTTCAACGATTTCAGGGGAAAAGATGCAGTCCATAATCCAAGTTGAAAAAAATAAGATTTATTCCAGTTAAAATTTATAGGTACGTACGTGATCGTTTAAACGCCTTGGTGTGTAAACAGATCATATATTTCCCTTCTTATTAGTGAGGCTGTCCCCTTGTTTCTGTTCTACCCTTTCTCCCCCTCAGTCGATTGCCTAGCCCTCTTATCCGCAAGGATGTATGCTGAGGAGGGGGTAGAAATAGCCTAAGCTACTCTATCCCTTTGAGATGTATTTCTTTCTTGTCTCAATGAACATACTTGAACTTGTATGTTAAGTCCGCCCACGGACACGTACTGACCACCTCCCTTGCCCCACCAGCCTCCTCCTGACCGTGTACTCGCCGACCTCCGGCTTCCAGAAGAACCTGGATGCCGCCAACTACGGCCGAGAGAGTGAGGAGTGTACGGACCGGTACTCCACCTGCCCCTCTGTCCTGGGCGACCTCCTGCCCTCCGCTCCGTGATGCCCTCCACATTCTCCACCTTCCCTCCAGCTCCTCTACCCTCCCTCACCTCCTCCACTCGCCCTGCCCTTATCTCCCTCGCCATATTCAGCCCTCCGGAGGAAGAGGAGGGTTATGTATATAACCCTTATATTATAAGGGTGATCTTATATGACCCTTATATTTTATATCATGAATATTCGACGTTCTCAATGCAACAATAACAGGTGTCAGTTCTACTACAACAATTGATGTCACACCCAGCGCCACTACAGCTGTCGGCCCCACAACAACAGCTGTCGGCGCCACATCAACAGCTGTCGGCGCCACATCAACAGCTGTCGGCGCCACATCAACAGCTGTCGGCGCCACATCAACAGCTGTCGGCGCCACATCAACAGCTGTCGGCCCCACAACAGCAGCTGTCGGCCCCACAACAACAGCTGTCGCCCCTACAACAACAGCTGTCGGCGCCACAACAACAGCTGTCGGCGCCACATCAACAGCTGTCGGCCCCACAACAACAGCTGTCGGCGCCACTACAGCTGTCGGCCCCACAACAACAGCTGTCGGCCCCACAACAACAGCTGTCGGCGCCACTACAGCTGTCGGCCCCACAACAACAGCTGTCGGCGCCACATCAACAGCTGTCGGCGCCACAACAACAGCTGTAGGCCCCACAACAACAGCTGTCGGCCCCACAACAACAGCTGTCGGCCCCACAACAACAGCTGTCGGCCCCACAACAACAGCTGTCGGCGCCACTACAGCTGTCGGCCCCACAACAACAGCTGTCGGCGCCACATCAACAGCTGTCGGCGCCACAACAACAGCTGTAGGCCCCACAACAACAGCTGTCGGCCCCACAACAACAGCTGTAGGCCCCACAACAACAGCTGTCGGCGCCACAACAACAGCTGTAGGCCCCACAACAACAGCTGTCGGCCCCACAACAACAGCTGTCGGCGCCACAACAACAGCTGTCGGCGCCACAACAACAGCTGTCGGCGCCACAACAACAGCTGTCGGCGCCACAACAACAGCTGTCGGCGCCACAACAACAGCTGTCGGCGCCACAACAACAGCTGTCGGCCCCACAACAACAGCTGTCGGCGCCACAACAACAGCTGTCGGCGCCACAACAACAGCTGTCGGCGCCACAACAACAGCTGTCGGCGCCACAACAACAGCTGTCGGCCCCACAACAACAGCTGTCGGCGCCACAACAACAGCTGTCGGCGCCACAACAACAGCTGTCGGCGCCACAACAACAGCTGTCGGCCCCACAACAACAGCTGTCGGCGCCACAACAACAGCTGTCGGCCCCACAACAACAGCTGTCGGCGCCACAACAACAGCTGTCGGCCCCACAACAACAGCTGTCGGCCCCACAACAACAGCTGTCGGCGCCACAACAACAGCTGTCGGCGCCACAACAACAGCTGTCGGCGCCACAACAACAGCTGTCGGCGCCACAACAACAGCTGTCGGCGCCACAACAACAGCTGTAGGCCCCACAACAACAGCTGTCGGCCCCACAACAACAGCTGTCGGCCCCACAACAACAGCTGTCGGCGCCACAACAACAGCTGTCGGCGCCACAACAACAGCTGTAGGCCCCACAACAGCAGCTGTCGGCGCCACAACAACAGCTGTCGGCGCCACAACAACAGCTGTAGGCCCCACAACAACAGCTGTCGGCGCCACAACAACAGCTGTCGGCGCCACAACAACAGCTGTAGGCCCCACAACAACAGCTGTCGGCCCCACAACAACAGCTGTCGGCGCCACAACAACAGCTGTCGGCGCCACAACAACAGCTGTAGGCCCCACAACAGCAGCTGTCGGCGCCACAACAACAGCTGTAGGCCCCACAACAGCAGCTGTCGCCCCTACAACAGCAGCTGTTACTCCCACAACAACAGCATAAGATGGTGGCGTCAAACATCATGCTATTTTGGAGAGTGTACAGACTTGGCTGTGTTTGCTAGGGTTGAGTCTCAGAGCTTGTGTCCCGCCTTTGAACATAAACTAAACTGTTGTACAGTATTATATAACCGGTGCCTTGTTCTCGTGACATAGCTGTTTCTGAACCCTGGTTCATATCGCTTTTGTATTACTTCGACACTGTCAATCCATAGTTCCCTATTGCTCCTAAGTCACTTAGTTTCCATGTGTATCGCGTTCCTTGTCAAATAACCGTAACAATCTTGTATGTCGAGATCAAGTCTTCCAAGTCTCTTGACTTTATCTCATGTTTTTGTTTGATGAGATGATAAGCGTTCTGTGGTGGCGCTGCATATACAAGGAGTGGTATGATGTACCTGCACGTTTCTGCGTATGTTTGTGTGTGTATGCGTGTATGCTTATGCTTTGTAGGTGTATGTGTATGCATGTGTATTTGTAAGAATATGTAAATATAGATTCCCACATATTTAAGGTTCCAATGTGTGCTTTGTCAGCGAGGGAAGGCATTTGATCCAATTAGAAGAGGTAGCACGGGCATGAATAGCCCGTAAATCCAATTAGATGATGGATCACCAATTATAATCCCACAAGCTATGCATGCACACTGTACGATAATACATACCAGGACTTTATACAAAAATGTTATACAAACCCTTGTATCTTTAATATTTATAAAGGTTTAATAAAAATATAAACATAAAAAATGTAACTTTTTTATGCATGAAATGATTATAATGTAGTAGTGAACTCTTCAGAACTAAGTGTACGTATACACTTTTTAGTATTATTGAGTATACAAATGTGTATACTCAATGTATACACACTGGTCATTTTATTACAAATATTTTCATACAAACATCAAAGAAATACACACAACAATTCGCAAGATTAAATATGTGAAAGTCTTCAATAGGCTACTTATATTATAGTTTCCAAAGGAACCATATATCCAAGACCGTTGTACTAACTTGCTGAGTCAAGCGAACACGAATTGCTGATAACTGTATAGAAACAAAAGATGAATGGTAACTGCACAAGACCTGGTGTGTGAGGCTTTACGTACTAACCCGGCTTTATTCATATACACTACTTATCGACCAGACCACACACTAGAAGGTAAAGGGACGACGACGTTTCAGTCCATCCTAGACCATTCTCAAGTCTATTGTCCACTCTATTCCTGGAATAGAATGGTCTGGACCATTCTCACAATCGACTTGAGAATGGTCCAGGACGGACCGAAACGTCGTCGTCCCTTCACCTTCTAGTGTGTAGTCTGGTCAACATACTTCAGCCACGTTATTGTGACTCCTCGCCTGCAGTACTTATCTTATACCGGTAAAGCTGAAGACTATTACGGATCGTCGTAACAGAATTTGGCTATTGTGAGGATAGAGTTTAGAAGCTTGAAATTCAAATATAATAGTGTTACAACAGGTAAACTATAAATTCCTTTAACATAATTTATTGCGGAGAATCAATAGTCTATAAATATTATTAGATATATTTAATCTCTCCAAGTTTCTATTATATTGTGTTAAAGTTGTATCTAAGCCACATCATTTTCTAGATTACTTTATAATTATTTAATCCGATAATAGAAATTTGATTATTACAAGGCGTGGCTCAGTAACGCCCCTCAACTGAAGCACGCTAAACATTGACTTCAAAATTTGACTTTTTTTCAATATTAAAAAAAAACGCAAATCAGAGAAGACTGGCGTTGGTCTGGACACAATGTATCCATCTCCACCAGCAGGGAGGTAGGACACACTGTATTTACTACTACCACCACCAGCAGGAGCCCGCCAGGACGCTGGTCAACAGCAGGAGGGTGGGAGAGAGTACGCAGCAGGTGACGTTGCTGCTGGCCTGCCTCGGGGAGTCTCTGGAGGTGTAGTAAGGATAAAATGGTCCTCGGATCAACACACCACAACCGCGCTCTGAAAACGAACACATCAGATATATTTTAACACATTTCTTTGTCACTGAGAAGTCAAAGGCTATTAATATAATCAAATATTATATAGTATTACCATCTAAATAACTGCTACAAGACCGATACGTGCTACATAAAATACAAGACAGTTACAAGCTACATCGGTATACAAGGCCGATACAAGCGTCGCACATTTGTGGAACGCAACAGGAAGCACATAGACTAACTCGTCCTGTGTTGAGGGAGCGGCCCCTTGTCAGGGTAATGGGATGATGGCTCCCTTCGTGGAAACCCGTCAACACTCATGATAGAGGTGTTGAGAAGAGCGAGGTGCCGCGCCTCCTCCTGATTCGACGCTTCAGGGAGGACATTCTCCAACTTCGACGCATCAGGGAGAACATCCTCCATCTTCGATGCTCCAAGGAGGACTTTCTCCAGCTTCGACGCTCCACGAAGGGCATTCTCCAGCTTCAACACATGGAGGAGGACGTCACCTGCGGTGTACTCCTTATGCGCAGTTGGGGCAGGATGTCGGGTGGGCGCCAGAGAATGTTGTAGCAGGCGACGGTGACTACGAGGTGGGTGGGACTCTAGGCGTGGCTGGACGCTGCTAGAAGCCACCATCACCATCAACAGCCTGAGAATAGGACGAGATTCACCATCAATACTGACGAATGTGTTATAAAGTAGCCATTCCTCCTGTCACTATTCAAAAACTCTACTTAGTATTTTATCAAACACATGTTGTAGCCTAGTAGGCTCCATAAATATTTATAATTACCAAAATCTCAAGATCTGATAATTATCTATTGTAAATATGTACAAAATATTAATAAAATAATAACATATTTCTCATTCAAAAGTTTACACTTGAACATCACGAGTTTCGACGCTCTTCCCAATATTACAAAAGACATTTAAGATAGTTTAAAGTCTGTAATTTATCTTTGTATCAGTGAAGACCAGACTTTATCGTCAGCGTTTAGTGAATAGAGTTGTGTATAATGCCACAACAAAGGCAAAATTGGCCGCTGACTGCTGATCCTGGAGGTGGAATCAGCAGAGTACACGACAAAGCCACAATGAAAGAAGGACAAAGATGTCGGGAAAAAACACGGCTTGGCAAACTATCCCATAAGATGGCTGTAGGATGTGAAACCAGAGACAGCGTATTGTTTGTTCAATTCACTGATTCCCGAAGGATGCTAAACTCATCATCAAAGACGAAAACACGAATGAAGGGAAATTTAACATTTGCTGCCTCTCTTGCTAAATAAATATTTTATTTATATAAGCTATAATATATAATACCTCATATCCCAAACCTTTGCATCAATTATCTCACCCGTTTTTCCTTTATAAGCATCATGAAAAAAAATCGACAAGCATTCACAAAACTAACTAACATAGGGATGGCTTTTACGAACCTAGCAGCCTAAGTCCTTGACTTCTACACGAGGATCCCGAGTTCAATCCCCGAGCGAGGCATAAACAGTTGGGTATCCCCTGATATTTCTCTTCCCCTAGCAGTAAACAGGTACCCGGTAGTTAAAACTGTTGTGGGTTGCATCCTGGGAACACCAATAGTCACCCTGGTGAAGGGGTAGAGGGCCCTCGAGAGCTCTGAGTACAGGCATCCTGTCCCCGACAACTGGAATTATGAGAGGCTGCGAGTTCCCGGGATTATAATTGTCATCCTTCGCTGTACATTTCCTAAAGAATTTAATTTCTAAACTACGGTCCCCTAAACTGCATAAAGTGAATGTGGCTGAACAAGGGCAAGAAACACCTGAATAATAACATATTATTTCGAGGATGGGGAAATGGGATATGAAGAAAGACTGAAAAAACTAGGCCGAACGTTGCTATAAAAAAGGAGAGACGAGACATGCCAGAGACATATAAAGTACCTAGGAGGATTAACAATGGAAAAAAAGAACTGTTCACACTGAAAACCGATAGAGCAATAGGACATGAGTGGAAGTTTGAGACTCAGATGAGACTTAGAGATGTGAGAAAGTTTTCATTTAGCGCTTTCATTTTTCATTTTCATTTCATTTGAAGAAAGTTTTCTAAGAGTAGTGGGGAAATGGAATGAGCTAACGAAACAGGTTGTAGAAGCAAACTCTATTCATAATTTCAAAATTAGATTTGATAGAGGAAAAATCAGGAGACATTGAATTAGACAGCCAGCGGCTAAAAAGACAGGATCCAAGAGCAAAAGCTCGATCCTGAAAGCACAGATAGGTAGGTACAAGTGGTGGGAGAGCGCGCGCGCGCACACACACTTTTTCAATACTTACCAATTGCTCACTAAATTCATAACAAAATGGTAGTTTTGAATCCGTTAAATGGTTTCCTGCTTGAGTTCCTCTCTCCCTACGTCAGCTGGTGAGGTTACTTGTAGCGTCGTTGGCTCACACTACAAACTGCTGTAGCCTGATGAATTCTTCTGAGAACAGCTGCGCCTCGCTAGGCTCCTTGTCGCGCTCCGTGCACAGATGTGTCAGGCTTCACGGTCAAGATGTACACGTCTAGACAGCTGTCACAAGCTGAGGTTATTTGAAGTCACTAGAAACAGACGTGTCGCAATATAATGCACCTACATCACGCTATCAGCCTTCTAGAGACACATATATGCCATTATTAGGCATCAAGAAACACCTATGTGACATTATTAAGCATCAAGAAACACCTATGTGACATTATTAAGCTTCTAAAGACAGCTGTGTCACGGTATTAGGCTTCTAGAGACAGCTGTATCACGGTATTAGGCATCTTTGGACAGCTGTATCACGGTATTAGGCTTCTAAAGACAGCTGTATCACGGTATTAGGCTTCTAGAGACAGCTGTGTCACGGTATTAGGTTTCTAGAGATAGCTGTATCACGGTATTAGATCCCTGTGTCACGCAGGATACCTACATTATACTATAGGCTCATTGTGCCACACTTGGAACGGCAGTCACCGTGAAGAGCGACTGTGCCGCGCTATTTAAGAGCGGTCTAGAGAATACTAGAAACAGCAGTGTTGCACAGAAAGATGCCCTCTGTTCCCTAATAGATAGTGCAATCTGGAGTCACAATAGACATCGCTGTGGCACACAAAGACAAGGCCGAGCCAAATACGTGTTTTGGAGCTGTCTGTACCGCCTCAGAGCTCTCTATATATCCATGTATATTTTTAGAGCTTTTTGTTTCGTTACATAGCTCTATATATATTAATGTAAAGTTCTCTATTTGACTGTAGAGCACTGTATATAACTATACATATCAATATCTAAATAGTTCTGTAAACAATAGCTCTATTATAATAGAGTTCTACTACAGTATTGATACAGAGAGATATAGCTATCTGTACCGCTGCGAGACGTTATAGAGATCTGTACCACTACAGATCGAGCTCTACCTATAGAACCCTCTGCACCGTTATATAATTCTCTGTGCCGCTATAGAGCTCCCTGCACTTCTACAGACTCCTCTGTACCGCTATAGAACTTTCTGTACCACTGTAGAATTCTATGTAGATCCTATGTACTGCTGTAGAGTTCTTTGTGCTACTATAGAGCCCTCTGTGCAGCTATAGTGACCTCTGTACAGATCTCGGCCGGTGTTGAGCTCTCAGTACGGCAGGCCGCTGGGGCGTGACCTGTGCGTGTGAAGGACAACGGGACACTGACAGCCCGCCCTTTTGTGCTGCTGGTCTATGGGAGGGGGAGGGAGGGAGGGAGAGAGGGAAGGGGGGAAATGTGAAGGTAAGAAATATTGTTCTTCTAATAGAATTGAGTCCCAGCAACGATCACTGGGACCTGATGATCCTTCAGCCTCTGATGTCCCTGTTTATTAAAATAGTAAATCCGGCAGTTCAAAACACGAGACGGAAATGATTTGGGTACTATATCCTTTCACCTAATGCCTCTGCAGACGATAAGTCACAACATGTGTCCAAAATTTGGGGACAAAACTGTGGAGCTCTCTCAGCGGTGAAGAGATTGTCATGGTTGTCTGTGGACAGGAGGACCTGTAGATTATACAACAGTTGCTTCTCTTTGACTTGATGATCGTGGTTTTAGTTATTTGACTGTAGCAGGGTAGATCATGTCTGGGGGCCTAATTTATTACCTTAACTCGAAACAAAGCTTGGCACAAACTATAGTTCCGTATCATCTTTTCCAGATGACACTAGGATTTTTATAAGAGTGGACAGCATAGAGGACACAGGTAACCTACAAACTGATGTGAATCAGGTCTTCCAGTGTGCCACAGAAAACATGATGCTCAATGAAGGTAGGTTCCAACTCCTCCACTGTGGTAAACATTCAAATAACAAAACAGAAGCTACATATAAAACCAGTAAGCATATATAGTAAGTCTGATCATACTATCGAAAGAGAACGAGATCTGGGCGTTACCATGCCTGAACACCTTACTTCTAAGGAACACAATAAAGTAGCTGTCACAATTGCAAGAAAAATAACAGGTTGGATAACAAGAACATTTCAATAAAAAAAAATGGTACACCAATAATGGTACTTCTCTTCTCTAGCTAGATATCACACTAGTGATCTATGTAGATCCTATGTACTGCTGTAGGATCTATGTAGATCCTATGTACTGCTGTAGGATCTATGTAGATCCTATGTACTGCTGTAGGATCTATGTAGATCCTATGTACTGCTGTAGGATCTATGTGGATCCTATGTACTGCTAGAGATCACACTAGTGATCTCTAGCTAGAGAAACTGCTGACCTGGAGAACGTGAGATCTTTGAATTCCCGAATCAATTTAATAAAACATCTATACATTATTGGGACCACTTAAAATTTCGGGTTCCAAATCTTTCATTTGGAAGATTTAGAGGTACAGAGAACTCTCATTCCAATTTTGAGTGACGGGTTCCAGATCCTGCACCCGGAAATAACTCCTTATGAGACCAGGAGGTATGGCAGGAAGTGCAGAATAGCCCCGTTGAAAAGCAGAGGTGCAACAGGTACACTAACAGACAATTCTGTCAACATCAACGGCCCAAGACTTTTCAACACCTTCCCTCTAAATACACGGGGGCATAACTGACTGACCTCTCACCGTGTTCAAAAGAGAACTCCATAAACGCCTTCAAATGAAACCTGATCATCCGAACTAAGACTCATCCGTCAGACTACAAACAGCCGCGTCTAACAGCCAGATGACCAAACCACCAACCAGAATACCTGCTCAGAAACCGGGACACGGGGACATTGATTCCCGGAACTATCACAATATAGTCACAAATGGATAATCTGTATGTCTGAATGTGTCTGTCTCCCTGTATGTCCGAGTCTGTCTGTCTGCTGTGTGTCTCGGGTGAGTCTCTGGGGTAATCAGAACATTTGGGGCGGAACACCACCTCCCGTGTTCATCTTGTCCAGCCCGTGGAACCTTCCTGCACGTCGACACCGTTTTCTTCGCGGCGGAGACTATTATAATAACCCCGGAGCGTTGCCGGCTGGTACGTCATCGTCTGAGAGTTACGTCACTCATCCTATAAGCAATAGGGTCAATATTGGCCACTCGTTGAGTTACGTTACTCATTCTCCGAGTGAATATACAGCCTGAGGGACAGTATTGGTCAGCGTCACTCATCCTGTGAATAAACATTGTTCATCCTGCCACTTGTACCAGAGAGCAGCGAGGACTACCATAGTCTTCTCGACAGATTCTCACGCAGGAGAATCTGCCGGTACAAAATAGACGAATCCTTTTAAGAGCAACATCTGTATTTAACTAACACAATCCAAACTCGGTGTAATATACAATATTATGCATAATTCTTTTATTTCTCATATGGACATTGTCAAGCATCCAGAGACGGTTATCTGTCAAGGCAAAGATTCTGCAACTCCACTACTCAGCTTTACATTGACGCTACCTTGCATCAGCCCATCTAATACAATCAGGAGACTGCTGGGTGTTGCTACTGCTCGACTTAGACTCAGCTATGAGCATCACTGAAAATTGTCTTTACCTACTGGTGTAGACCTGACCAAAACAATTCGTGAATTCAGAGACAACTCTTTAACAGATGTTCAAGAAATGTGTCAATATTTCATTCAAAATTATCTGCTACCAGAAATTTTAGCCAAATATCCCCAGTTTGCTAACTGTAGGTAGTAACTAAGTGACTGTAACTTATCCACCGCTGGCCACTGGATGGGGGGCGGTGTGCAGGACAAACATATCAATTGTGACACTAGCTCTCCATATTTGTAAGTTGGTTAATTTAAACACTGAGCTTGTGGTCGGTCTCGAGCCCATTGTTGATGTGACAACGTACATTACATTTTGTTAGTAACTCATCAAGACTGTAACTTGTTTAGCTAATTGAATTTTGGGGAATCAGTCCCCGAGGCCATTATGTGACTGTAACCCTTTCCAATAATCGCCCGAAGAATGGTATTGGGTGCATAATAGATGAACTAAACTAGCTAGTGTCCCTACAGATACCTCCCTCCCCCCCCCCGTGTGTGTGTGTGTGTGTGTGTGTGTGTGTGTGTGTGTGTGTGTGTGTGTGTGTGTGTGTGTGTGTGTGTGTGTGTGTGTGTGTGTGTATTCTGTTGTCACGTGCGCACACCAATATAGGTTTGACCCAGCAACCTGTTACAGTTGGCAGCCACACATGCGGGTAAATTAGTGTTCCGTTATGGTCCATAATTAAGGAGCCCCGTCGATCTTAATCCAAAGTTACACCTTTGTTTGTAATGACTTAGTGGGTGTACAAAGGGGGTGGGGGGGGTGCTGGTGGGTGTACAAGGGGGGCGTGGTGCTGGTGGGTGTACAAGGGGGGCGTGGTGCTGGTGGGTGTACAAGGGGGGCGTGGTGCTGGTGGGTGTACATGGGGGCGTGGTGCTGGTGGGTGTACAAGGGGGGGGGGCGGGGTGCTGGTGGGTGTACATGGGGGCGTGGTGCTGGTGGGTGTACTTGGGGGCGTGGTGCTGGTGGGTGTACAAGGGGGGCGTGGTGCTGGTGGGTGTACAAGGGGGGGCGTGGTGCTGGTGGGTGTACATGGGGGCGTGGTGCTGGTGGGTGTACAAGGGAAGGCGTGGTGCTGGTGGGTGTACGAGGGGGGGGCGTGGTGCTGGTGGGAGGACGTGACGTGAGTGAGGGGAGGGAGAGGAAGAGAGAAAGAACTGGCCAGGAGGTGTTTGTATGATAGAAAGTTGGAGGACGCGCTCTGCTGCCAGGTCAGCTGCTCCTGGGCACGCGGCGTGACGGTGCGCGCGCACGTGCACTCTTGCCACATTGGGCTACAAGTATTGAATTGGGCTACTTTTGAGAGCCCCGCGCTCCCAAATTTTTAATCTTGCTACTTGCTACTTTTTGGGCTAATTTAAAAGCAAGATGTGCTAATTTGGGCTATTAATGTTAAGAATGTATAATTGCGAGTTATATGAAAGTAACTAAGTTATAAATAATTGTAATTATTAATAATTGTAAATATTAATTAATACTAAATAATATTATTTAATAAATTAGTCCCAATTCAATGCAGAGTTTTCTTCCAAGCACAGAAACTTGTAAATATAAATACAAGATAATAGATAGATCGATAAATAAATAGACAATTTTCAAATATTGCACCAAGTAATGGAGAGAGGAAAAAAACTAGACAGTATACATTACATTTGAAATTAATAATGGATGAATGGAAATAAATTGGTGTATGTTTGTATGTACACCAGACAAAGTCCATTTAATGGCAGAATTTAGCCATTTTGTGTAAAAACTTTTATATCTCCTATTATTATTTATAACAGTAATCGAACAAAGTCATAGTTTGTATATACAAGAGATGAAACAGAGCCATGAGCTAGAGCGATGTGCTGAGTCCATAAGGAGGCCGAGCTTCCAGAAATACCTTCCTGTGATTGGCTGTTGCGGGGAATACCAACACTCTTATATGAATAAAATTTAAACTAAGAAATAGGTCCTTGTGCACAACAACAAGGTTGTTGTGAAAAAGAACAACAATTTCTGTTTTGCACCTGACAGAAATCTCCATCTAACTGAATAATTTACTCAGATAAGAGGGCAGAGCAGCGTATCATTATTTGTGTCAAGGCAACCCCCAATAATAACGTCTCAAGTTAGGTAGCCAGCCCATGTTTCTGTAACACTCGTTACGTCCTGCAGTATTTAATTATCACTATATTAATACTTTTAAATACTTAACATTTCACTTTTTAGTTAGATTAAAGTTGAAGCAGAATGTCATAAGCAAGGATGTTGTGCTGAATAAAGATGATTTAATAAGTGGATGGAGCCTTTACCTGATCCCTTCCTGTGATTGGCTGTTGTGTGAATGTCAACAAAGAATATGATATGCCATTTATTATGCACCCCATACCATCTGTGGGCGGAGCTTGGAACCTCCTACCCGAGCACAACAACCCGCCTTATGGGTTGCTGTTTGGCTATTTATAGTGCGTTGGAAAAAACAGAGATGGCGTTAGTTGTATTTTGTGGGGTAATTTGTTATAAGTGTAATTTGATGTCAACAGATGGCGTAAGCTGTATCTTATGGCCACTGTTGACCCGCCAGTTGATAGTGTTCTCTTCTGCCGACAGATGGCATCAGCTGTGTTATTATTACTTCCGAATTCCCTTTAAACACTGATCTACAAAT